AACTTACACCGCGGACTATTCACTATTTTTCGGTGAACTAAATTGATGGTTTCAAATATCATATTCTTTATGGCCATTACTTGAAATGAAGCGCTAAGTTCGTCTGTATGTGTACGTGTTTTTCTGCTCGTCACGAAGTTAGTTCATTTGTCCTATGAAAGTCGTAATTAGTTGGTTGTTCATTTCGTGTTGCTGTGGGGAGGCACAGCGATGGGATCAAATGGCTCTGCGCCTTCATAGAATGTCAGAAATATTTGAAGATTATTCAGTGACATATTGAGCGCGAAACCCTTATTGAACATCATTAGAATTGATAATTCGTTTTCAGAAAAATTTCTTGGTATTTTTCGTCCACTGTCGTGGTTCTCGCAATGCCTTCCCTAAGGGTATAAGATAGGTCTTCTACTTTACGTATCTTATATGCTTAAGAAATCTTTGCGACTCTTCGATGTTTTCTTTATCTGGCTATGATAAAAATCTAGTTTTCTGCCATGAACTCTACAAAAGACAAATAAACTTACCAACAATTTCCGGTTCAGAAAATGGACGACTGCCTGCATAGATGTTGGAGCATGGGGAACGATTGGCGCCCGCTTCACCCCAACGATGTCCCCAGTTACGGTTAGCATCAGCTCCTACACACCATTTATTCACAGTAATATTACGAGATCGAGTTTTGCGCCATAATCGATCCTGGAAAATCATCATCTTCGCACAAAAATGGAAAAAAAGTTTGAAATGAATAATCAAGTTTGTTTCTCTGTTATTTAAGTATGGCTAACCCAAACTATTCCATATGGTTATAAGGTAAGAAAAGCTCACCGAAACACGACTGTACTCATAGCCGTCCGGATTCGCTTCAGGAATTATATACCAATCGAACTTGTCCACACTTCTCGTTATGACTGGATCTTTTCCATATGCAGAAACAAGCTGAAGACACAAAGCTAGACAATTTACAGCATTTGACCTTATATCGCGATTTGTCTATTTACCACCTTTTTGATCATCCACAAAGCAGCGGCGGGTGCAGCCCATTCGCGTGCATGTACTCCAGCATCAACAAATATTGCTGGTTTATACCTATTAGAAGACGAAATCTGAATAAATGGAAATTATGGCAACTAGGCAAGTTTTCTTGCTGCAAACTCGTACCTTCACGCCATACATAGGACGTCCTTCAAAAGTTCTAGATACATTTAACAAGGTAACGAGATCAGGATGTTGTTTAGATAATAGTTGCATGAACTCTACCATCTGAGAGTTAAAATTGTGACGTCATATAGTTAGCAAACTATGTTGAATGCAACCTCATCATATGTATGGTAGTTGTCCACATCAAACTGCATCGCATCAAAACTTCTTTTCGCTCGACTTCGATATCGCTGTAGATGACGACGCTCGCGACGAATTTCTCTTGAAACAGATAATAGTATTATTATCCAGCATGAATGGAACGAATCGGCGAAGCAAAACGGTAAGGTCTACGTTTCATTCAAAACTACATAAAAACTTACAGCTTTCATGTAGTTCTGAATGAAACGCAGACATTTCAGGAAAACAGGTTGTCGCGAATTTCAATTTTTTCATGCTCTTTCTTTCAACTAAAACCAACATTGAAAGTGCCAAAAACATTTGATTTATCTTTTGAAAAAAGAGCTCGCTCTATAAAAAGATATGCTTGACTCTCCAAAACACCGTGACCTGACTTAATCTTGAAGCTTCTGATTTTAGATGCACAAATGGGCTGGTGTTGCTGATTTACCGTTAAGGAACTTTGTCAGGTCGATTACGATCATATCAATTTGCGGTAGGACTG